CCATTTGCGTCGGCTCCTCCATCTCCGTGGCCTAGATTAGATCGGCCGACGAGTAGTCCTGGCCATGGGCCGCCCGACCCGAATAGCCCGGCCCGAAAAAGCCCGGCCCGACCCGGCCCGACGCTGCTCCCGGGCCGGGCTGGGCCTAGGTTTTGAGCCCGAAGACTAGGTCGGGCCGGGCCTGTTCCCGCTGTTTATATCATTTACTGAAGAGGCCCGGCCCGAGGCCCGACGTGTTTTTTGCTGTGATGGGCCGGGCTCGGGCCTGAAAACTAGGCCCGACGGCCGGGCCGGGCCGGGCTCGGGCCTGAGTTTTCTACCTCGGGCTTGGTCAGGCCCGGCCCGAAGCCCGGCCCGGCCCGGAGGATGGCCAGGTCTACCGACGAGACAACAAACTACATGAGGTTCTGCACGTACGTGTGCGTGCGCGTGACCGACCACCTAACAGGCCACCACGACGATGGGCATTCCACAGGCTTGTCCGCGGGCGGCCCAGCCCGGCCCACTCCGCCCCTTCGTCTGTCTACTACCCGCCGCCGCTTCTTCTTCCCTGACAAAAAAAAGAATCAGCTACTTTTACATATATGTACTCCATTGTGTATGTGTTCTTTCTTTTTTGCGGGTAATATATGTAAGTGTTCGTAAATATTTTTTTTTAGAAAAGGAGGATGACCTCCGGCCTCTGCATCTGGGAGATGCATACGGCCACTTTATTGATTATTTTCGAGGACCTTACAAAGTATTACAACAATGTGCATGAATCCACCATTTTGGCAATATATGCCGCTATTCCTATCCAAAATGATGAAGGCGTGCTAGCTGGGGCACTACCCAAACCACTCACCTAAGCCTAACATTAAAAGCCGGAAGCCGAAACACTCATTCAGAATCCCCAGCCGCGCCACATACCGGGTCTGGGGCATAATCCGGTCAGACGCACTCGTGTGTCGTCGCCGTCATCTTCCACAGGTCCGTCTTCAGATCATATTGAGGCTTCTACCTTGTCTGGCCACTCTGTCATCGACGCCACCATGACGCCAGACAGCAACCTCCTCCTGCGCGAGTCCATCTCCGTGCATCGGACACCGAGCCTTCACAGCACCATGCCGCCGATATCCGCCGTCATCAATGTGTGAGATGAAGCACCGCTCCACCATCCCCCAGCCAGCACTTACTCCAAAACGATGCCCCCGGAAGGGAAAGCGATAAAACGCCATCATCGTCCGATCCGGAAGACACAGATCTAGGGTTTCCCCCGGAGCATCCCGAGCCTAATGACGCAGACTGCAACGACGATGCCTCGACAAGGGAACGACATCTAAGACGCCGCCATCATCCGCCATGACCGTAGTCGGCGCGATTTTCATCAGTAGTTGCTCCACCAGACGTGCGCCGCCAACGTCGTTGGTCCCTTCAACCGGAGCAAACTCCAAAACAATGCCCTAAAGAGGGACTACGACGCAAAAGCGCCGCCATCGCTCGATCCCAAGGAGATCTAGGGTTTCCCCCAAAGTTGCTCGCGCTGTCTAAGGACCAGACAAGGGTAGAATCCCGGCGGATCTACCCAGCTGCCGACGAGTCGCAGCCGCCACCGTGCCGACGGCAGACCAGCGACCAAGGCCCACGCTTGGACATAGATCCGGCCGCGCCGCCGCGGACCGATTCGGTCACGCCACCGCCCGCCAAGCCTAGCAGTTGTCGCGCCCGACGCGCTCCAGCAGCCGCCGCGTCGGCCGCCGGTCCGCGCCCCACGCGCGCATCCGGAGTCGCCGCGAGCACGCCGTCCACGCCCAGGCCGCGCCGGAGCTCGGACCAAGGCCGCCGCCTCCTACCCGCACCACCGTCCGTGCCAGCCGCGGCCCGCGAGGTC